AAGAAATATGGACAAAAGTGGCTTCAGAAGTAACAGACATAATCTATTTACTAATCTAGGCTATTGTGACATGGGTAAACACTGTATAATTATTTAAACTGTATTACATTTTATGTTCTCTACCACATGTAAGAAGAAAAAAATTATAACACAAATCTTTGATTAGACTTTTGTATATTTAAGAAAATGCCTGTAAATTAAGTTACTAAACCAACACCTTAACTTTTACAGCTTTACTGCAGAATTTCAGTTTCCATAGCTAGCGCTCTCTCTCGCTCTCTCTTTCTCTCTCTCTCTCTCTCTCTCTCTCTCTCTCTCTCTCTCTCTCTCTCTCTCTCGCTCTCTCTCTCTCTCTCTCTCTCTCGCTGGTACTGAGGCTTGAACTAAGGGGCCTTGTGCTCTCACTTGACTTTCCCACCCAAGGGTGGGCTCCACCACTTGTCACATCTCCACTTCTGGGTTCACTGTTTTCTAAATCCAGAAAGTAACCTATATTCTTTAATTACATTTAGATTTTGTAAGTTGTGCCATACAACTTTTATGAGCAATGATCACTGTATACTGAGCATTTATCTACCAGTCAGGCTAACATATTGGTTAAAAAATAGGTCATACCACTCCCTGTGATAGACTGCTTAAGAAATATGGCTCCTGAGTAGCATGGACTGAGGGTAAAAGCAGGAAAAAGGGGGATGGTTTCTATTCACTCTCAGGCTACATCATATAGAGAGAAAAAGAACTGATACAAAAACACCCAGCAATTAAGAGACAAAGAAAACTGAATGTTCACTGGGGAAAAAAGCAAATAAAAAGAGAACTTTAGAAACAATGTTTCTACAATGAGAATGCTATTAATTCAGATATTTGCATCTGGAAGAGAAGGAGTCAAAACTTTCCTGCATAAAATCTGAGCACCCAAAGCTCAGATGGGTAATTCCTCCCTCTCTGCCAACAAAGCAAACAGAACTCGTGTGTTTTCTACTAAAGAGGAGGATGCTGTTAGAGCCATAATCAGAAAAGACATTTGCAGAATAAAGTTCAACAATCACTTCTACTGTAATATCTGGCACATTAAGTAGGGTCTCATAATGGAAAAAAGCAAATAATGCAATAGAGAAAAGGATAACTTGGATAAAGAAAAGAGGCTACAGAGGTTTTAACACTGACTATAAAGTACTCTGTTCACTTTCCTTCCTTCATAGAGGCTCTGGACTTGAAAGTATTATTGTGCTTTAAAAAATTCAAGCATTAAAATGATAAATAACTCCCAAATTGCCATTCAGAGCCTTAGTGTATACCCTACAAGTGCCTACATTACAATTACCTAGAGGATTTTTTTAAAATTACTGATTGCTAAACAAAACAGGAAGCCTAATGAATCAGAATCTGAGATGAAGCTAAGTAATTGTTATAACCAAGGTTGACAATTAGTGCTGTAAAGGTATAACCAACTGGTGTTAACTTTTTTCTTTTAACCACTATAGGTAACAGACAAAAGTGTAGATACCAAAGAAAGATTGAGCTGAAGTGAATAAACCTTCTAAAGATTTTTTGCTAAGCCTGACTTTAGCAAGACCTGGCCATCTGAATTTGTCACATGAAGTGGCAACAAAGAACATCCAAGGTTTTAATGCAGTGAATAGTATGTGACTACTTATTTTATATGCTTGAGACTTTGTTAAAGGTTGAAATAGGCACAAAAGATGAAATATGTCTCATTTCAATGAGGTTTTATTGGTGGACACTCTTCTCCTTAACCTAAGGAAAAGGTATTCTTTCATTAATATAGTAATTACTTCAAGGTAAAAAGTTCCCACCGATCAAGATGTATCTTATATACAAATTATACAAATTAGTATGTTGAACTGAAATCCTTTTGTACAATTATTTAAAGAGAATTTTTTAATTTAACGTTCCTTTTTAAAAATCTAGTCAATCTTTCACCTTACGCAGTGTAAATCTGAATTAAATTGGTAGTTTGGCTCCATTCCTACCTCCAAGCCTGTTTTCTCAAGGAGTTTAAGCATCTGAGAATAGAGCACGTGTTTCTAGGCTTTGTGACGTCTGTTGCACTAGCAAGCTGTGGAGGATCTGATAACGACTTAGTTAAAACATTCAAAAATTAAGGAGACTAAACTTAGAAAAAAAAAACTAAATTTCAGACCCAGAAAACAAGCAGATTTAAAGCAAATTTCCAACCTTCACACCCAAAAGCACTCAAAGAAAAGATTAAACCAAAGACAATTGGAACAAAATACATTCATAAAGATCAGACATGTGGACTGGAGCATTTATACATACCCTTTAATAGGATAGTTATCATATTAAATGACATTTATGCTCCTAAATATTAGGTAGAACTGAAAGAAGAAATAAACCTATCTTTATATCTGGATGTTCAGGAAGTGGCACTGTAGCTCAAGTGGTAGAGCGCTCACCTTGAGCTGAAGAGCTGAGGGACAGCGCCCAGGCCCAGAGTTCAAGCCCCACGACCGACCAAAAAAAAAAATATATAGATAGATAGATAGATAGATAGATAGATAGATAGATAGATAGATAGATAGATAGATAGATAGATAGATAGATGTTCAAGTCTTTATATAGACAGCTAGAACCCTCTTACATAGTATCATGAACTTCTCAAAGGCAAATTAATCTGGGGCTGGGAAGTAGCTCAGTGGTAGAGCACTTGCCTTGCATGCTCGAGGCCCTGGGTTCAATTCCTCAGCACCACATAAGCAGAGAAAGCTGGAAGTGGTGCTGTGGCTCAAGTGGTAGAGCGCTAGCCTTGGGCTGAAGAGCTCAGGGACAGTGCCCAGGCCCAGAGTTCAGGCCCCACAACTGACTTAAAAAAAAAAAAAAAAAGGCAAATTAATCTGAAAACATTTTCAAAACCATTATAATTTAGTTGACTCTTACCACCCAAATTATTACCAAACAAACCTAATTAAGGTTAATTAAGGCTTCTCCCCCACTTCTCTCCCCCAGGTAATGGGGCTTGAACTCTGGGCCTGGGCATTGTCCCTAAGCTTCTTTTGCTCAAGACCAGCCTCTACCACTTAAGCTATAGTGCAACTTCCAGCTTTTTCAGAGTAGTTTATTAGAGATAAAAATCTTATGTACTCTCCGGCCTGGGCTGGCTTCAAATCATGATACTCAAGATCTCAGCCTGAGTACCTAGGATTATTGTGTGAGCCACTGGTGGCCAGCTCTTTACTCTCACCACAACCAAAACATCATGGTGAGCTAGCATGAACAACTCTACATTGGAAGCTCCATCTCATCCAGAGCCAGTAACAGCACCTCTCTGGGCCAAAGCTGGCACAAGTGACTCATACCTGTAATCCTAGCTACTCAGGAGACTGAGATCTGAGGACTGTGGTTCAATTAGCTCAAAGCCAGCTTGGGCAGGTTTAATCAGGTTAAATCAGTAAAAATTGAGTTATGTGGTTTATGTATATACCTCTTCATTTTTCTCTTATGGATCACTGGTCTGTAAAAACTTCATAAATCCCTTTTTCCCCATGCCCCCCCCCCAAAAAAAAAGAAAGTTTCGCTACATTTTTCATAGTCTAGGCTTGAGGTAAATACCACCTTTGCTTACTCAAAGGCTGACTAACCCAGCAATATACAAAGATGATAGCAAATGGCTTAGAGCTGAATTGGCAAAATGTCCACAATGTCTGTCTTATAAGACTACAAAACTACAAAATGCTGCTAATATCAAAATTGCCTTTCTATTCTCCCTTTCAAAACTGATAGTATTTCAAGCACTTAGAAAGTCAAAGTAGCTACATAATTAGTTTGGTCAATAATAAATAACTTGTCTTATGAAATGGCAACCCCTTGTACAATACATTAATAATAACACTAAAACTGTATTTTAAAAAATAAGTAACTTGGAAAATTTTATTTCCAAAAGTTTTACCTTTTAGTTATTGCATATTCAAACTACTTTTATCCAAAAATTAGCTTCATGAATGTTTCAGAAGTAAACTACTATTGCTCTCATACTACCTATAACTTCAAGACACACAGAATATATATCTGCCAGCTAAAATCTCAAAATTTCAATGCCAAGCATTTCAGAAAAAGACTGAGCAATCTCCCATTTATAACAGGTCTTTCATACTTAATATTTTTAGTTAAAAAATCAAATTATAAGAATAGTAGTATAAAAAGAATGCTGATACTTCATTTTTCTTTTTACACAAAATTGAGTAGTACACATCTTCTAAGACAGCTCTACTTCTAAAGTTATTGAAAATAACTTTTTCATGTGAATTGTAAAGCTTCATTTTTTTCCAAACACTAAATAAATCATTCTAATCTTTTCCCCCTTATTTAATACTCACTTTTATAGTTATCTAAGGTATTTCAAATGGTATTTCATTTTTAAAATGAAAACAGCCTCTGTATATCACTTTTAAAGAACAATTAAATTTTAAAAAATAAAAACCAATATAACTCATTAACTTTAAAGAAAGAAAACAAAGGACAACATGGCCAATGAACACCACCTATGACTGAGTTATCCCTAAACTTTATCCTTAACTAAATACCAAAACAAAGCCACTGCCCCTAAATATTTTTCTTATCCATATTACACGTGAACAGGACAATTAGTTAACTGTAACTTCCCAGCCAGCACTACAAGTACAATTACATTTTTTTTCCATTGAAATTTGACCTGTTTTGCTTTGTGGTAGCACAAAAAAAGAAAATATCTCCTTTATTCTGAGGTCAAAACAGAAATAAAACACTAAATACATGAAACATTAAAAACACTTCACAAGGACACCTAAAACTTTCCAGCATTTGAATGCTTTCTTTCCCTCTAGTAGTTAAGTGCCATCAGGCATGTGACTGACTGTACATTTTATCAGAGTTAAAGAGTTAAACAGCACAATCAGCCATGTTCTTCAACAGGTAAGAACCACCTCCGTTTATCAGCTCAAGATATAAACAAAAAGCAAACACACAAAATCAGAAGAAGTTACCTTCAAACTTTCTTTCTCTTTAGATGTCGTCCCTTGGGCTTGAAAATAAAAAGTAACCCAGCAAGTTTTATGCTGTTAAAATGGCTCCTGTAGATTGGGGAAGTGGTGTCTGTGCTTCAGCTTATGAGTCATACATGAAACTAAGTGTTTCTAAGGGCGGCACGCCCATGTTGCTGTGGACCCAATTATTCTGCTAGGTCAAACATGCAAATCTACAGGTAAAAACGGGAAAGAGGTACAGGACAGGAGGCAGGTAGCTTAAACCATTACTAAACTCATGTTAACTGCCACAGTTGGAAATTAACAATAAAATGAGAATCTTCAAGGAAACAAAACTAGAAATTATGTTGTTTTAAAAAATAAAACTTCAAATTTTAAAAGCTATTTTAATCTATCAAATATAGAGGGGAAAGTAGGAAGATGGAAGTCCGTGAGCCATGGCTCTTAATGTAACAATAGTTTTGTAAGTCTAATCTAGCTACTCATTAACCCTTATATGTAAGAGATATATAGCTATGCAATCAGGAAAAGCAATCACATTGTAATGCTAGATACTGACTTATAAATCCTCTAAACAGATAAAATCCACTAGAAATGCCAAAGTTCAGTGGAAAAATAAGAGTGAATATGGTTAATAGAATTATTTTAAAAATCCAACACAGAAAGTCCAACATAGTAATATGATTTTAAAAAGAATTAAGCTTGGCAAATCGTCATTTATGAAAAGAAAATGTGATGTTCATCGTGCATAATTCTATTTCCAAATAACAGCCATAGCTTTACATTTAAAACTAAAATTTCCACATACCTTTCAAGCCTACCTGTACCAGCACCACGCTACAGCTCTGCTACACTGTACATAAGCCAATCCAAGGGGCAAACAATTATGGCAAGTGAAGTTCTGCTCCCCAAGTTCCCAACAACCTAACAACAAAGCTATAACTATTTCCTCTAGCTCCTCGGTAAACACTCATTAATTCCTTCTAAGCACATAAGTTAATCAAAATAGCCTGAAGGCAATAGTACTTCCAAAACTATTTGTAGAAATGAAGTACAAATCCATAGAAATGATTTGCTCTAGTATTTTACTGAAAGCAGGTATTGGAGCCAAGCACTAGTGGCTCAAGCCTGCAATCCTGGCAGTTTGGGAATCAGATTGGGAAGATTACAATCCAAGGCCAGTTTAGGCAGAAAAGGCTTTTTTCTGTTTTTTGGTTTTGTTTGTGTTTATTTTTATATTAGAGATCCCCTTTGAATCGCTTTTGAGAGATCCCTTCTCAATGAGAATGAAACATGCCCTCCATCCCAGCTACAATGGGAAGCCTACAAGAGGTGGATGGGGGTCCCTTTGTGCAAGGAAGTAAGACCATATCTAAAAATAATCAGTATAAAAGGGGGCTGGAGGCATAATTCAGTAGTTGAATGCTAAGCCATGTTCAAATCCCAGTGTTGACAAAAAAGTAGTACAGAAAATAGTGGAACTTAAGTAAGGCTTTCTCCCGTTAGTTAACTATTTAGGAACAATTACCCTTCTTTAGTTGAAGCACAGATGACAGCTCTCACTCTTTACAAACTTCTATAAGACATGACTGTGAACTGACTCTCAGGCTATGTATCTATTCCCCTTGAACACTGCTTAGTTAATCAATTTACTCAAATAATCCTCATGGTTTAACAAATTAACAAAAATTATTCAAAAGTACAGCATTTTTAATTGCCAAATGCCAGATACAGCTTACTTTAGAGCTCTCTAATCCAGAAAAACTTCTCTCAAAACACAAGTACCAAGAGAAAAAGTTTCCCTGTGCAGTCAATGGGAAGTCCACTACTCAGTGGAAAGCCCCCCCCCCCCCAATCCCCCATCTCAGTCACTTCCCATAGCTAAAGATCAACTTTGGACAACATCCATGTAAACCTAATAATCTGAATGTCTTCTTTAGCTGCTTAGAAATTATAAAGGATGAGAAGAGTGCAATAGTAAAAAAAGGATGGTAGCATGACAAATGACAGAGTTGATCATGTAAACAGACAAAAAAAACTATAAAACTACATATAACTTTAAAGTGTTTAGAGCTGGCAATGTGGCTGGGGACAAACACATAAAACCCTGAGGTCAGAGCCAGGCCCACAAAATTAAGTGCTAGGACCTGAAGCCACTTTGTATGGTAAGTTGTATATATTTCCCTACTTCCCAAATGTATTACCAATTACTAACGGCCCTAATGTCAGCACTGGTATGATAAATGTTTTGTTGGGTTTTTTTGACAGTACTAGGGACTCATGCTTGTTAGGCAAGTGATAACCCCTCCAACCTTTTTTGGCTTTTTTTTTTTTTTGGGGGGGGGGGGGGGGAGGAGAGTGAGTAGATAGTAGGGTTGAAGTCAGGCCTTGATGCTGTCCATGAGCTTTTTTTGTTCTACCACTAGGAGCCACAACACCACTTCTGGTTTTCTGGTGATTAACTGGAGATAAGAGTCTCATGGACTTTCTCCTACCCGGGCTGACTTTGAACTGCAATCCTCAGATCTTAGCTTCCTGAGTAACTAGGATTACAGGTATAAGCTACTGGCTCCCAGCTCTTTGGTTTTTCAGAGGTTCTCATTTATGCCCCACCAACATCCCACAGTGATCCTCCAACCTATGGCCTCTCATATAGCTAGGGTACAGGCCTGACTGATCATATCAGCTTACTGATTGATACTGAGTCTTAATAACTTTTGGCCTATATTTGCCTCCAAAGGAACTTTTAAAATCTCTGCTTTCCAAGTAGCTGCAATTACAAGAATAAGTTACAATGCCTAGCATGTCATAGGGTTTTAAAAGACTAATCAGCTATACAAGAGGTAGCAATAGGGAGGGAGGAATAGTTTAGGGCTAGCATGGCCATCTCAATGTGTGTGTCATCCCAGCACAGAAAGCGTAACAGGAAGATCAATATCTAGTTCTGCCTGTACATAAACATGAAACCCTATTGGAAAATAACTACAAAGCAAAAAGGGCTGGAGGGACATAGCACCTGCCTAGCAGGTTCAAGCCCCAGTATCACAAAAAATGAACTAACAAAATAGTGAATATTAAATTTTCAAATATTTTAAATGATATATAGGTACGGCCAAGGATAATCTTCTGCTATTAATAAATACATATATAAAAAGCTTCTCATTACTTGATAACAACAGATATTTGGATATGGTTTAAAAGTACTTTTGGTCACCAGCACACAGAAGTGAAGTAAGTAAAAATATCATACTTTTTTAAAACAAAAAGGTCCTCCCAGAGAGGTAATTCCAGGGTTGCTGTTACACAGTATTGCCTTTCTCAGCATCACATGTATTAATATGGTAACTTATACAGGAAATGCATTCTATTCTATTCCATTGTATTCAGAGTACCACTCTTCAAAACATAAATTGATCTATACATACTAGAATGCAAAAAAAAAAAAAGGAAAGAACAGTTTAGCATAATTTCTATAATTAATCTACCTGGGTTCAAATCCCAGCTCTGCTACCTATTATTAGTGTAAATCTGGGCACTTAACAGGGCTGTGCCCTTGCTTCTTTACCTATTTGCTAACAGCATACACCAAAAAGGATTACTGTGAGGATAAAAGTAAGCCCATATAAAGAACTTTCTCAAAGCTGGGCGCCGGTGGCTCGCGCCTGCAATCCTAGCTACTCAGGAGTCTGAGATCTGAGGATCGCAGTTCAAAGCCAGCCCCGGCAGGAAAGTCCGTGAGACTCTTATCTCCAATAAGCAACCAGAAGTGGCACTGTGGCTCAAGCAGTAGAGTGCTCACCTTGAGCTGAAGAGCGCAGGGACAGCACCCAAGCCCAGAGTTCAAGCCCCAGGATGGACCAAAAAAAAAAAAAAAAGACCTTTCTCAAATCAAAAATAAGAAAACTGCCAGGTGCTGGTGGCTCATGCCTGTAAGCCTAGCTACTCAGAAGACTGAGATCTGAGAATCAGATTCAAAATCAGCCCAAGCAGGAAAGCCCTTCTGACTCTTATCCCCAATTAACCACCAGAAAAATGGAGTGGTGTTAAGCAGAAAGAGCTCAGGGACAGTGCCTAGACCCCAGAGTTCAAGACCTACAACTGACCTCCTCCCCCCCCCCAAAAAAAAAACCTCCACACAGAAAACTACCCACCCTTCAAATGGTCTGAAAAGACACTTTACCAAAGTAATAAAGATGACCAAACCACATGCGTGTGCGCACGCACACGAGCACAAACACACACACACACACACACACACACAGAGAAAAAATACTGATACTGATAACGCCAGGTACAAATAAACTATCACTCATACATTGCTAGCAAAAATGTAAAACTGTATAGCTATCGGGAATATACTAGCAGTTTCTTACAAATGTAAGAAACATCAAACTTATCAAAGTTTCTCATCAGAGAAGAGGGGAGAAAGAAGGGCTTGGCTTTTTTTGTTGTTTAAGCTTGAATCACAGAACCTCTGGCCCCTAAGATAAAAATCTAGCAACATTACAATAAATTGCATGTTTTTTCATAAAGATGAAATATAAATGTAAAGTAAGAAATTTTAGGATGGTAAAAAAAAAAGAACTTTTAACTTCTCTTATACAGTTGACCAAAACAGCTATAAATAAGCTAAGCTGAACAACTAGTCCTGTAGCCTAATGATTAAAACCATGGGCTTTGAAGAGCAAGCAACCTAGGTCAGAGTCCCATTGGTCAACTAGTTGTTTCAGGCTACTGAAACTAAGTCTCTGCTTTAACTTCTGCAAGAGAACTTCTGTTTATTATGGGGTCAAGACAAATAATGTGTTCTCAAATACTTCACACAAAAGAGATAACATAGAGTAGTATATGTATCCTATTCAGCAATAAAAAGCAACAAACCATTAATAAACACAATCTGGATGACTCAAAATCATGCCGAGGAAAGTAGTGCGGCAAAAAGTTACATATACTATTTAGTATATGTAAATAAATGTAACCATTTATTTAGTATTTGCTGAAGAGACAGTATGACCAGGGAGGGCATGGGGCTGGGGAAGGTGATGCGAGTATGAACCGCTTTATATTCAGAGAACTGGAGAGTCTCACTCTGAGATTTCTGCCTAGGCAGAAAAGTCCACTAA